GACAGCTGTTGGGAGTGGCTCGTGAGAAAGGCTGTGGCAGAATCGTACGGAGAGGTGGCACCGGAGCGCCAGTGGAGCGGAACAAGGCAGGTGTTGGAGCGTGGCGGAGTGGCTCGCGGTAAAGGCTGCAGCAGAATTGTAGAGAGAGGTGGCGCTGTCGGCCTTGGACCACGTAAGGTACCCCTATCAGGTAGAACCCTGCAGGTGAACTTTTGAATGCTGGGCGGCACTGACCAGGGACAGAGACTTTTGGGTGTCGGACTCTGGGAGACTTTTGGGGTGTCAGACTTTTGGGCTGCTGGACTCCAGAGACTCTTGGGGTGTTGGACTTTGCTCATGGTTTGGGCTATGAACTCTGTTTGCGGTATTTTTCCAAGTTAATGCCATGTGACTTCTCTCTCTGTTTCATTAAATGTTTCTCTTCTACACTCAGACTTTGTGCTTGTGAGTAGGGAAGAATTGCCTCTCAGAGGCGCCCATGGGTGTGTGAATTTCCCAGGCTACTGGGTGGGGGCTCGAGCCAGTTCTGCGTGAGATGGAGCCCTAGATATTGAACCCGGCCCTGGTTGCTGCCAGGCCTACCCAGCAGAAGGGTTACACTAGTGCTGGGGAGAACTGTTTAATTTAAATAATGAAAAAGATAAATATTTTAACTTTCATTTGTTAGTTTATCCTTTTTTGGGTTGGGGATCACTGACCCACAGAAAAATCAGTTGGAGACCACACAAATGGGAAGCAAAAAACTCCTTCAAAAAACTCCAACCCTCACTGATGTGGCTCCCAACTGAGACACTTCACGTTTCTGGTACTCCAGCTCCCACAGGTGGAGGGAAACGGACAGGGAATATTGAGGTTCAGGGCTTCCCATAAGCCAGTCTTACTCATATAGGCATTATTATCTCACAACAGAACTGTATTCAGAACATAACTGTTTTAAAGTACTTTTTGAAAGAATTAAAATACTACAGAACTAGGAATAGTCACTGTGATTTTATTTTTTATTTTTTTTAAAAAGGCTACCAAAATAGACTAATGGCGAATCTTTTCAGTCCTCTTTTCCCCTCTTTTCATTCATTTACTACCACTTCTATGTCAATGAGTGGTATTCCTGCATCACCTGCTCGCTATTGTACTGATATTACAACCAGCAGAGGCAACACTTTTATTCCTCCTTCTTCCACTTACCAAAACACTGCCGCCCCATCCTAAGCTAAGGACAAACAAAAATACGTGGCCAGCCTTTGCTGCATAAAAATTGGGGTTTTAAAATAACACAATTATATTTAGATCTATAAGCTATTTACTATAGCTTCAGGGGGTAGCCGAGTTAGTCTGTTACAGAAAAAAACAACAAATGGTCTGATAGCACTTTATAGACTAACAGAACATGTAGATGGTATCATGAGCTTTCATGGGCACAGCCCACTTCTTCAGATGACCGGAATTATGAGTTTAGGATATGAAAACTCGAAATAGATGGATTCAATTCACATGCTAATGGATTCAATCGTGACATGGGCTGACTAGGACACTACCTACTTAATAACCACTGAAGGTGCTAACAGGTCTCTGAGTGGTATCCTTCCTGTCTTAGGAATCTATCTATTGACTTTGACTTTTATCTGCTTAGGTTTAAGTACCCATAATTATCTGTATCTCCAGATACTTAATGATGCTCTGTCTCCCACTCCCCTCCCTTTTTCTTTCTTTCCCCTCTCCCCCTCTCCTATTTATTTCGAGTTTTCATCTGAAGAAGTGGGCTGTGCCCATGAAAGCTCATGATACCATCTACATGTTCTGTTAGTCTATAAAGTGCTACCCGATCATTTGTTGTTTTTTTCTATTTACTATAGTTATTCTATCATCTGTTTGGTACTTTGTCATTTGATTTTGATTATGGAAGATTTTAACAAGTCAACATACCCCAGCAAGCATACTACACCCCAGGGCTAGAACTTTCATCCATTCCACCTCTTGACCAAAGTTGTCCAATTCAAGGAGGGCTCTCAGCTGCTCCCCTGGCAAACACAGATGTTTCCATTTTTTCTCTAGTTCAATCTTGTTCACGCGGCCCTTCTCAGAAAGCTTTAAAAGACAAAACACAATGGCACAAATAAAACTCTGGGAAAAAAACATGGAGATTATGACAAAACTAAGAGTACAAAACTTTAGGACCACTTCCCTCCATCCCCTCCCAAGAAATCTGTGGCATACCCTTTCCTTGACTTAATGGTCTATTAGGAACAAGCTGTCTATGAAGAGTTTTACAGATATCTATGAGTCATGACTATGAAAATGTCCAGTGACATTTCTCAACAATATTGTATATTCAATGTAAGCTGTACCTGCTTGTGCAAAACTTTAAGGAGGCCTGGTGTCAGCCCAGTATCCGTTTTCTGTGTTGCTACTGGCATTTCAATCCTGTCTTTTACAGGAAGGGGCTCTCCTTTTGACAGAGCTGAGAAGTACCTAGATTAGCAGGAATATCAACAAATGTGAATGTATATCAGCAAATAAAATTTAAACAAAAAAAAATAGCAAAGTTTAAGCTTTCCTCACACATCTCTAATAATGAATATTAATGTTTCTGATACAGAAATCTACCTCTTAGAGACAATGACAATGACACTATTGTAACTGGCCAAAAACTTAATTCCATTTCATTCACTACCCATATACAGTGTCTTGCTCACAGGATCTAAAAAAACACTCAACTTTAACAACTTTTCCTAAAAACTATCCCCACAGCTATTTTCAGAAAGAAAACTACAAAGAGCAACACATTTCAACAGTAATCTATATCTTCTTAATACATAGTACAGTTATCAACTAACACAGAAAATGATTCCTTTCAGACTCTGTTCCTTCCCATGAACTATTACATGGATTTAATTGATGTATAAAAGTAATTACCCCAGAAAATCCTACCAAATACAAGGATCTAAAGATGGCAACACCTTGCATCTGCTTTTCAACCAGGATTAGTTATTAAATCTACTGAGGAAAATGAATTATGAGTCAATACAAAGCAAAAATTAACAGCATCAAAAATGTGAGCCAGTTCACAGGGTAGCAATCCTAAATCACAACTGCCAAGGTCCATATCTAAAATTGCACCAATAAATATAAATTAAATCACATTATTTTTAACTAATTAATAGACTACATGAAACACAGTGGATAAAAATAAATGATAATTTTAATTAAGATATATTACAGCGCAAAGTTATCTCATCATGGAATACGGATTCTAAATTCTAATTCTATAGCATGAGACAATATATTCATGTAATGTTTAAGAAAATATATGTAAATGAGTTCCAATAGTTCATGGATTAGGGACCTAATTTTATGGGGGTCCTGAGGCTTCTATATAGATTATTTAGGTTAATCTATCTACCCAATGGAACTAAGTGCTCAGTCTATAAGATACCATCAGAGATGGTTAGTTTTGCAATTCTCAAACTGTGGATTTGTGTCTCTAGAGATAACAGGCTTATTAACAGCAAAAATGTTTTAAAATAAATGAATGAATGAAGGAATGAATAATATAGAAAGACGTGACCCTAATGTCCCTCTGCAAATTTGCATACACGTAGTCAATCCCTTATCTCTCTCTAAATGTGCAAAGTTTCAAAAAGTTTAATTAACAGAAGACTGGTGTGGAATAGATCTGGAAAGGAGAAGAAGTCTGGAGATAAATGTGAGAAGGAAGGGACAGGCAGTAGAAACAAAAGTGAAACTGTTAAAGCAGCATATTCCAGAAGTCTTGAGGTCCTTTTGAATGTAAGATTCATTGATTCGAGATCTACCATACCATTCTCTCTCTAGCAGGGAAAAACTATAATATCAACAGATTGCAAAAAGGAGCCAGTTTGGAAATATTTTAATGAAGTTCATCTATCTGTGGGTAAGGCAAGCATGAGTGCAAAATGCAAATACTACAACAAAGAAATGCAAGACCTGGTTGCCTGAATGAAACAATACAATGAGAATTTTTCCTTCTCAGGAGGAAGCTGCATTGAAGATGATGAAAAGAACATGTCTGAACATGCAGGATTCTTCAGGTTTTTAAACCTTTTTTATTTAATGCTTTTTTCTTAAGGACTTCCTGTCTTCCTTCTCGACTATTTTTAAATTCTCATGTTTGAGCAAAATATATAGTTTTTGATGCAGCTGTAAAAAAAATAAATAGCTGAAATAGGCCGATCTTCCTTTTACAATTTCATGTTTAAAATAGTTCTGAGTGTCAGTGAATGCAATGAGTGAGTAATTCTAAATGAGAAGTATGCTAATAATAATTAAATAACTGCATTAGCTTATTTGTTTAGGAGAATCCATCCTCAACATACAGGATTCTGAAGACTATCCACATTCAAGATCATCATAATTTTCTATAGTTTCAGAGTTATCTGTCAATGATAGAGTTTCAGTTACATCATGTATGTCACATAAGCACAGTGTATCACCTGTAGCAAAAGGGAAAAAAAATCTCCATCATCCAGAAACAACCATAGATAAGTTTGTGATAAGAACGAGCAGATTACAAAAATAGGTAATTGATTAAAAAATTGCCTGGTTTGTTTATGCAACAAATTCTCCTTTCCATATGATTAAGAATCCACACTTTATTAATATGATTCAGTCACTAAGATCAGAATACAATCCACCCAACAGAGCAGATGTTGCAGATAAATTGCAGGATAAAGTATATGAAAGAGAAATTGAGCAGTGAGCAAAAGGTCTAGAGAGGGTAAAATTGTAGAGGGTAAAATTATTAACCTAAGTCTTGATGGATGGAGCACTGTCCACAACGATCCTGTTGTACATGCTTGTATGACAACAGAAGAAGGGAATATCTTCCTTACAGAAACAATTGATACATCAGGAAATGAACACACAGCAAAATACTTACAAGAAATAGCAATAAAAGCTATAACAAACTGTGAAAAAAGTTCAATTGTCTAGTACACAGCGTGGTCACAGACAACATTGCAAATATATCCAAGATGAGAAGAAATGTAGGAGTGAAGAAAGTCCCAAGCTAGTAACATACGGTTGCAATGCTCATTTGAGGCACCTCCTACTCAAAGATGTCAATGTTCCACAAATAAAGGTTCATGTTGTTGAAATTGCAAAATTCTCCCATAAGAACTACTTTGCAGCAGTTGTCCTAAAAAAATTGCAGGAACCAAGCTAACTCTCACAAGACATGTGATGGGACTCAATAGTCGACTGTTTTGAGCACTACAACAAGAACTGACCTAATCTGATGACAGTTTGTGAACAAAATCATAAAAAAAAATTCATAGTACTGTCTCAGCCAAAGTTCTCAACATTGGGCTTAAGAGAAATGTAGAAAATATGCTGAGTATCCTGAAACCTATTTCTGTAACCTTGAAAAAAAATATAAGGAAATAGATGTTTTATTGCTGAGGCTTTTGAAATTTGGAAGGAATTCAGTGAGATCTTAAAAAGAGAAATATGCAATGACAAAGTTCAAATACAAGCATTAAAAAAACAAATGGCACAAGCACTATCTCCAGCTCATTTTCTCGCAAATATTCTTGATATTTGGTACCAGGATTAAACATTAACTGCTGAAGAAGAGGAGTTGGCTAAGACATGTGCATCCAGTAATCATCCCTCCATAATGTCAACTACAATAAACTTCAGAGCTAAGGGTGAATCATTCAAGAAATATATGTTGTTACCTGCCCTTGGAATCAGCCAACGAATAAGACCAGACAAAGGGTGAACTGGAGCAGCACTGAGGCTGGCTTACTAGTACAGGTTCTTAATCGTATGGCAATACTCACATACACATCACATTCATTCTGGCAGTTTGGAGACAGGCTGCAAGCATGGCGAGAATTAGTTTCAATTTCACAGGTGGCTGGCCAGGCAACAACTTTCCAAAGATTGCCCATGAGATGACAAGAGTCCCTGGAGTCCCTTCGGATCTGAGAGAAGGCTCTACTGCTTCTGGTTTGGTCCCGAACTTGGCAAGCTGTTCCATCTTTCCCGAGGAAAAAAGCCACACCTGGCCACCTGTCACATTAATTTATGCACTTTGCAGGATACTTCCTTAGTCATAAAAGTGTATGGTGGGCTCAGTGGGGTGGGGATCCAGGTGCAGTGGGATGGACCTCGGTAGGGAGGGTGGCTTTTCAGGGTGATGCAGGTACAGTTGGAGTGGAGCTTATTGGGGGAAGAGGTCTGTGGGTGGGGACTGAGGCCTGTCAGGAGAGTCTGGATACAAGGGGGTCTGGATGAATGGGGATTGAGTAGATGGGGGAGCAGCTCCCTGTACCAAGATCCCTCCCCCCTCCATTTGAGAAGCCATGGGTGAAGGAAAGAAAGGGGGGGGGAAAGTCTGCAAAGCTTCCTTTAACCGGGGGAGAAAGCTGCAGGTGGAAGGGGGGGAAGGAGAGGAGGACAGAGGAGTGGGGGTAGGAAGGAGGCCAGGGCAGGGGCTGGAATTAAGCCCGGCGAGCCCTAGGGTGAGCAGCTCCCTGTACCAAGATCCCTCCCCCCTCCATTTGAGAAGCCATGGGTGAAGGAAAGAAAGGGGGGGGGAAAGTCTGCAAAGCTTCCTTTAACCGGGGGAGAAAGCTGCAGGTGGAAGGGGGGGAAGGAGAGGAGGACAGAGGAGTGGGGGTAGGAAGGAGGCCAGGGCAGGGGCTGGAATTAAGCCCGGCGAGCCCTAGGGTTTCGGGGAAGATTCCCCCGCCGGCTGAGCAGGTCTGGGCGGACCTGTCTTAGGGCCCTGGGCTGGGGCCTGTGAGTGAGGGCGGGCCTGGGTCCTCCTACCCCCCACACACAGCTGGGCGGCTACGCACGGGGCGCATAAGGCCTTACGGCCGAAAAGACCAGTGGTCGGGACTAAAAACTTGGGGATATTCGCCACCTAGAGTGGCAACACAAGGAACGGGGGGAACCCCGCTCCCATCGCCGATTGGGTCGCGGGGTTCGCACCTCAAGAACGCATAACAGGAAACTTGTTTAAACTGCACCTGAAAGAGCAAATGGGGGGAGGTGGGTGTCCTTCTACGTATGTTTGAAGATGTTTTAAAGAAAGTCACAACAGTAAACTGGTGGAAGTCAGTTAAGCACTTGGATTCAGAGACTGTTAATGTGATAATCTCGCTTGTAACAGCAGTAGCTTCTTCTGCCAGTGTAGAAAGGATATTTTATTTTGAACTACTCATTCCAAATTGAAATATTGTTTTGCACTTGAAAAAGCAGGAAAGCTTGTTTTGCTTTTCCAGACTATGAACAAACAGGAAAATGAAGGTGAATATGACTGAGGTAGCTGCAGACACCAATATTTTAAATGTCTCGTATTGACCTCGCTGACACAGTCAATTTAATTTTATTTATTAAGAACTATTTTAGTTTAAAATAATTTAAACAAAAACAACCCTGATTTTAAAAAAGTTGAATGTTTAAATTCAAAAATTCAGATGCTTGCTTTATTAAAATATTATATGTTTGCTCTTGAAGAAAAATATCCAGAATACATAATGTTTTTGTTTTAGTTAAATAAAACAATTTTAACGTCTGTCTGGTAACATTCTCCTAAAACAACACAGCAAGAAAATCTTCGAAATAGTGATTAACTTGTTGAATTGGAGATAGCTCATTTTCCAATCACGTCATAAATACCTGCTTCGCTTATTTTTGGTAAATGAAATAACCAAACCAACCATTCATTTTCTGATATAGATGTAAAACTCATCTGAAAAGTTTTCAAAATAAATTACTGTTTAAAAATGTATAGATTGTGTATCTTCTAAAATGAAAACTATATCTATCTCTGAGTTGTGAAAAGAATGTATTAAGGGTATAACAACCAACAAGAATGCACTTTTAGGTAGAAAACCATGATTAAATCAAGTCTTCCTGACTAGTGATTTAAACCTTGATTTAAATCAATTTAATTTAAATCAAATCCACCCTGCATAAAAACATATCAGCATATGTTCTACACAATATTTAATATCTAGTCAACTTACTTAGGTCTCTACGTAATGCGGCAATATTTTGTTGTGAGTCCATATATAAAGTACTACTTACCCAGCTGACCACTGCAGTACATCACGAGGTTGAGTCCTGATGGCAGCTTTGGTAAACTGTTTCAAAATATCTGGGAGTTCAGGGGGTATGTTAATCTGCTGAGCACAAAACATGGTGTCTGGAAGAGGCATGATTCTAGTATGGTTCAATAACAAGATCCTGAAAAAACTAAAAATATAAATTAATTCTAAACATATGAGAGATTAGTATGGTTCCATACAAATTCTCTTAATTTTATTATTCATCTCTACTGTATAAAACCCCCAAATATTCATTTTAATTGTGAGATCCTGTTCCAGAACAGAAAGCAGATGGCACTGCAGCCATTTTATTTTAATGTCATTGAATTAAATTAAAAGGTGAAAGGAAAAGGAAAGAAATATATTTGTTTAGTCACAGAGTTTGTTTTAGCCTGGTCAAAAATAAATGAGGCAAGTTCACAAAAGTATATGACTCTCTTCCTCTATAGTTCCTGTGATCAGGAACACTATTTTATCTTTATCTTCCTTTTTGCTTTTCTTTTAACCGAAAACATCCGTTTGCTCCCTTGTCTTCTCTTTACTTTCACTTTGTAACTATATTTTTCAACTTTAACAATTTTATGATACAGATTCTGTGCATGATATACAAAATAAAAAGGCAAATCTGAAATGAATTTAGGTTATCCTAGTTCTGTAACAGGCTAACTCAGGCAGTGGGGTAATATGCACCAGATGATGGAAACAGATGTATTATACCACAAAGTTTTTCTTTATTGGTGATGGAAAGGAAAATAGACTCCAAATTTCAATCAGTAACTAAACTATGATGAAAAAAATGAAAGAGAGTGAAACTAAGGCCAAGTCTACACTGGCAAGATACCTCTGGCCCTGTAACTTTTGAGGTGTCTACATTGGTAAGGCACATAGTGCACACTAACTCCACAGTAAGTGCACTCTAGATAAGCCACCTCGGCAAGAAGTGTAGAGTTTGCTGTGCTCTGGATAGTGCACTGGGATGCCAGTGTGAACACCATAGTGTAGTACTGCATTGTGACTGGCCTCCGGCATCCTTTCCACAACACCAGTTTTGCTTCTCTATTCATCTGTCAGAATTCTACTGTTCTGTTCTCAGGTGACCAACCCTCAGACTCACTCTTTGCATTCTTTTGAAATTTGAAAGTCCCGTTTGCTCGGTGATGTATGGTGTGTTCTCAGCACATCTCTCCAGCTAGTTATGCTTGCTCCATGCATCAAGAGATCCCCTACTTGGAGTCATCAACATTTGGGGAAAGGAGACAGTCCAGTCCCAACTGCTCTCCAGCCATAGGAATTATGATACCTATGGGAACATCTCAAGATGCATGACCAAAAGGGGCCACAATCTGGATACATGCAGCACAGGATCAAAGTGAATGCACTGTGAAATGCCTACTACAAGGCATGGGAAGCAAACCAGTACTCTGGTGCTGTGCCACAACCTGCAGGTTCTACAAAGAGCTGAATGATATACTGGGGATAACCCCCACCTCCACTCCAAAAACCCCTGTGGACACTTCGGGGGCTAAGAGGCGATCCAAGAGTGGACTGAGACAGAAGGAGGAAGTTGTGGTCAAGTATGCTGAAGGGGAGGTGAACCCAGAGGCAGAAGAGGATCCACAGAGGCTTGCAGATAGGAGCTTGTACCCCTGATGAGGGGAGCCAGTCATAGCCTTTGGAGGTTGTGGATAAACCACCTGGTAAGAAGGGGTTATTCATAGACTCATAGACTTTAAGGTCAGAAGGGACCATTATGATCATCTAGTCTGACCCCTGCACAGTGCAGGCCACAGAATCTCGCCCACCCCTCTTAGAATAATCCTCTCACCTATGTCTCAGATATTGAAGCCTTCAAATACTTTGAAGGCCCCAACATGCAGAGAGTCCTTCAGCTGTGATCTGTGCCCAATGCTACAGAGGAAGGCAAAAAACCTCCAGGGCCTCTGCCAATCTACCCTGGAGGAAAATTCCTTCCTGACCCCAAATATGGCGATCAGCTAAACCCTGAGCATGTGGGCAAGACTCACCAGCCAGACACCCAGAAAGTTCCCTATAGCAACTCCTATCATCCCTCCATTGACCTATTTCCAACTGATAATGAATGGTCAATTAGTTACCAAGATCATGTTATTTCATCCAACCATCCCCTTATCATAGAATCATAGAACTGGAAGAGACCTCAGAAGGTCGTCAAGTCCAGCCCCCCGCTCTAGGCAGGGCCAATCCCATCTAAATCAACCCAGCCAGGGCTTTGTCAAGCCGAGACTTAAACACCTCTAGAGATGGAGACTCCACTACTTCCCTAGGTAACCCATTCCAATGCTTCACTACCCTCCTAGTAAAATAGTTTTTCCTAATATCCAATCTGGACCTCTCCCACCACAACTTGAGACCATTGCTCCTTGTTCTGCCATCTGTCACTACTGAGAACAGCCTCTCTCCATCCTCTTTAGAACCTCCCTTCAGGAAGTTGAAGGCTGCTATCAAGTCCCCCCTCACTCTTCGCTTCTGCAGACTAAACAGACCCTTCCTGTAACCTGGGGGTGCTCCACATTAGGTGCTGGAGAGTCCCAGCGCCTCTCGACGGATTTTTGCTAGCAGTGCATTTGGGGCCGTGCGGGCCCCCCGGTGCCATCACACATGCGCGGCGCCCTCCCCCCCACCTTCAGTTCCTTCTCTATCCAGAAGTCAATGAAACTTCCCCATCTTTATGTCTTATTGTGTTATTTTCCGAAGTATAGAGGAGGAAGGGAGGGTAGTGGAGCACCCCCAGGGATGCTCATCTCGAAGAACGTCAGTTACAGGAAGGCGAGTAACCGCCTCTTCTACTTTGAGAGGCCCACCCTTTTTCGAAAGAACCTGTACTTCTGAAAAATTAGGAGTACGGGTTCTTTAAAAAAAAGGGGGGGTCGAAAGAACCACATCTAGACTGCGCTTTCATTTTCAAAAAACCCTTTTTCGAAAAAGCGCTCGGACGTGAATATGCAAATGAAGTGCCGGATATTTAAATCCATGCTTCATTTGCACTTTTGATTTGCCTCATTTACATTCCTCTTTTAAAAGAGGAATGTAGTTTAGATGTTCCCCAAGTACGTAATGTCTTGCAAAAGTGTGTTCTGATGCCCACGTGTCTGCTGCACATATGTCATCAATGGGGAATTTTCTCAGATAAGTGACCAAGGTGGTGACAGCTCTGGTGGAGTGTGCCCAGATTGAAGTAGGTGAAGATAAGTTGTTAAGTAAGTATCATGTAGCAAGGCAGTTAGAGATCCAGTGTGATAATCTTTGTGACGATATTTTCATGGAGATGATCTGAACGGTTTCATCCTGTGGATGTAGAAGGAGAGCGCCCTTCTGATATCTAGGGTGTGCATCTGTACTTCAAACGTGTTGACATGAGGCTTTGGGAAGAATACAGGTAAGTGTATAGTTTGGTTGAGGTAGAAGGAAAAACACACTTTAGGTAAGAATTTAGGGTCTGGTTGGACAGAGACTTTGTCTATAAAGAAGACGGTAAAAGGTGGGTCTGCCATTACGGCGGCTATTTCACCCACTTTATGTGCCGAGGTTATTGCCACTGGAAAGCTGTCTAAGGTTGGGCCGTGTAAAGAACATGTGGCCAGCAGTTCAAATGGTGGTTTAGTCAGCGTTCTTAGAACCACGTACAGGTCCCATGGTTCTCAAGGGGCTGCAATGTCTGGGAATAATGCCTGTAGCCCTTTTAGGAATCGCTTAGTTATTGGGTATGTGAATACTGTAGTATCATCCACAGGTATGTGGAAGGTCATTATTGCTGCCAAGTGGACCTTGATAGAGCTTAGGGAGAGATGCAGTAGGTAGAGGTTTTGCGCACTTGTTAGAGGTGCAGTAGGTAGTCTAAGATTGTGGGGAGCGGAGCATCCTTCAGTGGTATGTCATGCGAGATCACCCAGTGTGTGAAACGGGTTCATTTATTAATGTATGCTTTTCACGTCACTGGAGCTCTGCTGTGTAGGAGGACGTCGTGTACTTGCTGTGAACATTGCAGTTCTATGCCTGTGCATCCTCTAGGAACCACGCCTTGAGGTAGAGAGTCAGGAATTGAGGGTGAGGAGACGTGATTCCCGGTTGGTATAGAATATTTGGAGTGCGTGGGAGCGTGACTGGATGGTATCGGGACATCTTGCTTAGGAGGGGAAACAAAGGTTGTTGAGACCAATAAGGTGCAATGAGGAAGATTCTTACTTTGTCCTCTCATGTCTTTATGAGCACTCTGTTGAGGAAGGGAAAGTAGGGAAATGCATAAAGTAAAGGCGCATCCCACTTGAGGATGAGAGCATCCCTGAGGGACTGCTTTCCCATGCCGGCTCTGGAGCAAGACATTAGGCATTTTTTGTTGGCGTTGGTGGCAAATAGGTCTATGTGTAGATAGCTCCATCGTTTGAATATGTCCTTCAGGACTGTAACAAAAACCAGGACTATGTAGCACTTTAAAGACTAACAAGATGGTTTATTAGGTGATGAGCTTTCATGGGCCAGACCCACTTCCTCAGATCAAATTGTGGAAGAAAATAGGCATGACCATATATACCAAAGAGATACAATAAAAAAAAGTGAACACATATAAAAAGGACAAATCAAATTTCAGAACAGAGGAGGGATGGGGGGGCAGGGTAAATGTCTGTGAGCTAATGATATTAGAGGTGATAATTGGGGCATTGTCTCAACAACTTGATTATCTGCATACTGCTTCAAAGACATTTTAACAGCAGACTTGAAAGAGAAACCTCTGAACTGTCATTCATGCTTAAATTTGACACTTTACGCCGGGGTCTGAACAAAGACGCTAATTATCTTACCCATTACAAAGATAGCTTCCCCAATTATCACCTCTAATATCACTAGCTCACAGACATTTATCTTGCCCCCCCATCCCTCCTCTGTTCTGAAATTTGATTTGTCCTTTTTATATGTGTTCACTTTTTTTTATTGTATCTCTTTGGTATATATGGTCATGCCTATTTTCTTCCACAATTTGATCTGAGGAAGTGGGTCTGGCCCATGAAAGCTCATCACCTAATAAACCATCTTGTTAGTCTTTAAAGTGCTACATAGTCCTGGTTTTTGTTACAGTCCTGAAGGACTAACACGGCTACATTTCTATTAGTAAACTATGAAAGTGCTGGTCGGGTT